ACATTTGTAAGATCAGGCTGCCTGGGCCTTTAACACGCAGACATGTAACAGCCTCACCTGGGAAAGGGGTAAGTAGCTGAGCAACTGCACATACCTCACCGCATCTCCTCACAATTACAGCTCCAGGCAACAAAAACATACAAGAACATTCCAAAAAACAATTTTATGCCACAGCACTCTCCCAAAGTTGCTTTCTTCAAATGTTGGACACAGCTGTGAAGTTCATCACGGAGTATTTTCTTTAAAGCTTTCCCGGAACACCAGTGTCTCATGCCTGCCTGACTACAAACATCTTGACAATGTTCTTTTTGTTTCAGTAGATAATATAGTTTATGACTTTCTTCCACCCTTTAGAGTCAGAAGGCCAAGGACTGAGAAATTTATAAGGAATTAAGTTATAAGTAGAAAACCAAGGCAAACTAACACGACTTAAGCCAAACCAACAGAACTTGGCTATTAAAGACACTGGAGAACCTATTAAGCAACAGCTTCAGAATTTGATCAAATGTACCCAAATCTCTATGTGTGGTGTCTAACTAGACTTTTTTTTACAATAACATTTCTAGAAGTATGAAGGATTAAAACCATATTTTTATTAAAGATTAAAAAGAGTAGAAAGATCATAATTAGAAACTGGATGTGATCAATGACCCTTGCTGACTTATAGGTACCTTAAGACATAACATACAGGACAAAGTCACATTTTGAACGTATCTTCAAATGTATTTGCTACAACAAAGTCACTGAATATAAATGGGATATGATTTTTCTGATTGTTGGCATTCAGTTTTATATTCTAAATTATGCACTTGATAACTTCTGATTTTTATTTATTTTAATAAATCCACCAATAATTCTTATTAAAAAAATACAAGTTTTGGCAATTTATACCAAGTGAGTTATGAAGTTTAATATTATTCTCACAGAAAATTACCTTTGTTTTAATAACAAAGGTCTCAATGAAAGTTAGACAAAGTATTTTAAGTTTGTGATTTATGGAATCAAAACAGAAATAGCTGCATCTTTGTTTTTATCTGCCAAAAAAAAAATAATCCTGGCATACAGGACAAGTTTTAGCCTTTTTCAATCAAAACTACCTAACATTCTCAGGTTGACTTAGTTTCATAGGATTTTTAGAATAGATTTTGCAGGTTTTTTATCACATTGTAAGAGAATCACCACACTGGAACAGAAGAGTAGTGAGAATTTGTGACTACACCTCAGCATATTCCCCCCCCCCCCAAGTACAATGTTATGGTTCCTAAGGTAAATTATTACACCTTTATGTGCAAAACTGATGGATTATTTTAGTTTAGTTTGACAAATGGCCAAACCCTTCTGGAAGTATCTTGGTATCTATTTGAAATGTGTCTCCCCCTCAGCCATTTGTACCGTACAGCCTCAAAGTGCAGTCTGATTCTGTAGCAACAAGGACGCTTATTTGTGAGAGCTATTTGAGATGTGCTCTGCACCGTACTGTAGGGACTGCTGATCAGACTGTGTCACTCTGGAACTATAAGGCACATAACGAAACTCTTCACCTGCTCAAGTTCCTGGTTTCCTAGACTTTTCTTCACGCTTTTCAACATAAACACATGCAGTTTTAAGTACACTTATTTATTCTCTAATCAGTCTGCATATTCTTACATTACAATAATAATCATCATCTTACATTAGAGACCTGTATGTTACCTGCAAAAGAAATAAAAGATCAGCATATTCCACAGGATTCAAGGTACCTATTCCTCAGATGTCTACACAATAGCATAACCCGTGAGCAGGAAAGCACAGTGACAACACCTCTTCCCAAACCTCTCTGTTAATGGAAGGATAGAAAAAGGAAGTTAGCTGGGATCAGCTAGTTCTGTGGAGCTGTAGTGACTTCCACTCACAACATAGTGCACAGTCTGATCAGTATATCCTTGCAAATATACAACTTTCTTCTTAACAGCTGCTCTGAAATTCCTTTCAGAATTGAGGCAATGCACTACAGAAATACAGTTCTACTATAGAACTGTATTTCTACACTATGGGCTCAACTCTATCCCTTCCTAAAATCCAGAAAGGATTATTTTCATGACCTTGAAACATAGATTGAAATTCTGCTCCTAGTTTCCTCTATGTCAAGGCACCTGTTCTTCAGTGTCCAAAAGACCTAAATCTTTGCAAAAACTACAGGCACTGATAGAGGCTAATGACTGGTATTTAAGTTTCTCAACAAAATGGGTTCCTTAGATTTGCAGTTCCTCTTTCAGCAGTCTCATCTTCCTCATTCATAGCTTGTGAGTGCACTCTCACAGGCTACAAATTATTCGAGGATGAGCTACTTTCAGCCTCTTGTTGCACCTTCTGCACTTTTTTCAAAAATGAAATAGTCCAGGATTTGAGGTTTAACAACCCTGGCATTACTCTTTGACCCACTGGCTATTAGTTATTAATACAAAGTATAATAACTTCAAGAGAAATCCACACAGTAGGATAGCCAGTATCTTGGTAGAATTTCCTTTTTGCTTGATTTGGAACAGAAAGTTATCATTTTCCCCAATTCTAAATGCATACCAGCCATCATGCTGTTCAGCATGCTGCAGATTGATCTCTTTTGCTCCCTAAGGTTTCATGTAGAATTTAAATCATGAAGCTGCTAATTGCGTGCATGGAAACTGAAATTGCAATCCAGCAAATGCTATGCTGTTCCCATGCCATCATCCTGGACTCTGTTTTAGTTATTAAAAAGTTACTACATTAAATATCAAACTTTCTCCAAATTCAACAGGTAGCATCATGCAGCCAAACACCAAATTTTTCAAACCATACTTCCTCACAGTCAAGTCCCTTAAAAAATAACTACATGTTTAATGATGGCTGCATTTTACTGAGAAACTTCAACCACAGACAATATGCTTACAAGACCACAGCAGCTGAAAAAGCCTCCATAAGGTTGTAATTCACTACATAAACTAAAATCAGAATGTTTAAAATAATCTGAAGGAATATCTAAGATAGGTAGTAGAGGAAGTTTCCTTATGCAAGGCTAAAAAAGTAGTTTGCCTGGGTACTTTGCGTAAGAGGAATGGAGAACTGGAAGAGAATGGAGGCTCATATTGCTGAGGGACAAGACTGTCCTTCTCAGAGGCGGACCTGCAGGATTTCCTCCATCTGCCGCCCGACAGAACAGAGATGGAGTAGAGCTTTATCACAACAGCAATGAAAACCAAGTGTGCAGCTCCCACTATTGCATGTAAATCCTCCTGTAGCTTTTCCTAGAGCAGTGGCCTACGCTGAACACTTTCAACTCAAGACAAAGATTCATCAACCGGTCTGAAGCATCTATAAGGAAACATACCTGCTGTCTACCATCAAGTCAAAAAAGACAAGTTCACCTGCCTGGACTAAGATGCAAAAGTATTTCACAATTTTGTTCTGTGCTAAAACGTAAATACTTCAGAAAACGCTAGTTATGAAATTCTAAAAATTCTCCAATTGAAGGTGTTAGGAACAATGATAAAGGAAAAATATTTAGGAATTAATCAATAATCATCAATTTATGCTCATTTTCATTTTACTGTTTCTTGCATAGAGTTTTTGAATTTACTATTGACTTTGTATCTTCTGATTTTTACCATGCAGTTATCTCCATAGGATGGATGCAAAAAGATTTCCATGAGCACATTTAATGAAAAACATTTCTTTCAAGCAAGGCACAAAATTTAGATTTATTTATGTAATTTGATTAATCCCAATTTTTGTTTTACATTAAGTACAAAAACCAACTTGAACGTATGTGTAAATACAATTTCCACAAAGTAGTTCAATGAGATTTAAAATCAGTTATGTATCCAGAACTGTAAAGCACACTTAAAAGCAGCCCAGGATATACAGACTGCTCACCGTAACTGCTGAAAGAGCTCAAAACATATGAATATATTTAACAACCTCCAGTAATACGTTATCTCCTTTCTAATCTTTCATTTGAAACGTATTTAGCATTAAAGAACGAGAAGTGCAGATAAGTTTTACTCAAGTTGAAGCCTAAATGAAATACATACACAGTTAAAAATTAAATAACAGAACAATGACTTAAATAATTTGGTTGAACATTTCTAACATAAATGCTAAGATAATATAGAAAAATAGCAACAGGTTCAGACTTATTTACTTCTCAAAGAACTTACTGTAGCTGCCTGAAATATTTTAACAATTATAGAAAATTGTATTTCCAAATTAGGTACATTTGTATTTTCTAGATGACATACATTTAAGACAACCATCCATGAACTTATTTACAAATAGAAGCTTATTCATTTTAAAATCTGTATTAAAAAAAAATCAGTTTTGGCACTTCCCATAAGGCAATGGATGATAAGTACCTAAGATAGCAAATCACATAATGAAAGCATAACCAGAAGAAAATCATATTCTTTAACTTATTAAAGCCACTGTGAGACTTTAATTATAATTAAAGAGGAAATTAAAGAATCAGTGTTTGCAAGTCACTAAAACACCCTATCCAAAACACTGAAGATTCCTTTTATATGCAACAGGAAATTGCTTTAATCTGTGAAGCCACTGTGCCATGTCTTGTGGGAGAACCTGGTATTTCTATGGTTATTAAATTATCAAACTAGTTTTATTACCAGAAAATAACAAAAAGCTTAAGGAGAACATGATTTTACTTCTTAAGTAGGCAGAAAAAAATATTACTCTGAAGTCCAGCCTTTGTTAATGGTCTGTTAAAAAAAACCCAAGGTAATTTTGCCATTCACTCCACTGAGTAAAGACCACAGTTTCAAACTATTTTTTTATTGATATAAATAAAGTTTTAACCTCCTTTTTGCATTTCTATCAGCTTCAATGAGAGTTGAACCTTAAAATTCAATTTCTCGGTGTTGCCACATTTGCACTGCAAAGACTGCAAGCCCAGATTTCAAAACTGTGGATTTCATTTAAATTTAAAAAATAATCTTTGCCTTTATCTTAAATTTATAAAAAGATTTTTTTCAAAACTTAAGGCAAAAACAAGTTTTATTGGTTATATTTCTTTAAATCTGAGCACGTGTACAAGGCTGTTTAAATATCAAAATAGCTAACACCATATACAGTATTACCAACAAAGTAAAGAATAAGGCAGCATGCACCCTTAAGATGAAAAGAAAATTGAATTTTACAAGATGTTTAAATAATCCAAAGGCAAAACGTGTCTGTCTCCTCTAAGAGTATCTTCATAAGACAAGGAAATTTTAGAGGACATCAAGTTACTAAAATATTCCGTTCAACGTTTATACAAATACATTACTACAATTATAAGTTTACATACAATCAACTGACATCTCAGTGTTAACTAATTACTTAAATTTACAAGACAAACATAAATAAAGCTGTTAAAACAGGCAAGTACAGTACTGATCTATCATTCAGCACAATGTATTTTTTTATTTCTTTCACCTTGAAAAGAATCAGATTAGAATTGTGCGAAGTCGTTCTCCAAACCTAGAAATAAAATAAAAGAGAATTGAGTATATCTATGCAGGTTTTATACAGCATGGGCATATTCCAAATGCCTAAGTCCTGTTCTCAGGCATGTAATTTACCATTTAACAACCTTCTGTCTGTTCTCAGAAGAGGCCACAGTCTTTAAGATTATTTTTAATAATGACATCAGTTACAGCATCAAAAACAAACTGCACATTTTTTGTGTCTGTGGCACATGTGAAGTGAGTGTAGATTTCCTTTGTGTCTTTTCTCTTGTTCAGATCTTCAAACTGACACTGAATGTAAGCAGCTGCTTCTTCGTAAGTGTTTGATCCTAGAAGAAGAAAATTGCTCAGTAAGCAGGTTTCAAACTGAGAAAGAACAAGATGCACTACGTCTTGGAAGGAAGTCGTTCTTTGGAAATAGTTAACCTAAACCTCAGGAAGAGTAATTCCATAGCCATTGCTTTAAAACACCATAAAATAAATTTTGAAGGAAAACTTTGAGACACATTTTTAAGAATAAAAACTAAGGACTGAATTAAATTCCAGCTGAAGGAAGAGTCTGTCTGCCACTGAAGAGAATGGAAAGAGCAAGTAATTGATGACCCATGACTGTTCCCTAGATTAGGATATTTTGTTTCCTTCATTCAAGTTATTCACTTTCAATGTTTACATTTTTAAAAGGTTTGGGGTTCTCCCAAATTCAATTAAAGATACTTGGCATACATATTTCTCCTAAGCTTTTTAACTCCAACATGCTATTTTCTGTACAAAGGAATAATCTGAAGTTACAATGAAAATGATACATAAAAATGCTAAGACTTGTTAAATGAAATAATTCTCTTTTGCTACGCATTTCCTCAATAAGCCACCTATTTCTAACATGTATGTACACTCCCTGTTCAAATAAACTCTCATGTATCCTCAGGGATTCCTGCTAGTGAGGAAAAAAAAAAAATCACACCTTTAGTACAAAACCAGGAGGTCATCAGAAAGAAGAATTGGCTAAATAAATTAGGCTGAAAAGAGTTATATGAGTAACATGTAAATGCTGTCAGCGAACCAGCATTATTTCACCTGGTTAAACAGATGAATCTGACTTAGCATTATTTTATTTGTGATCCATAATCCCTCCTCCCATCTTAAAATTTATTTCATTTAAATATTTGAAACACCTAGAGTTATTAAAGTCTTCCTGATCTGTGCATCAAAAATGAGGTAATTTAACCAAAAATTACTTGACACCTGCGTCCCTCTCCCAATACCTGAGTATTCAGGGTAGCAAATAGTGAGAGGACTCCTTTTGATTTTTTCTTCAAAAAGATCTTTCTTGTTCAGGAAGAGAATAATAGACGTGTCTGTGAACCATTTATTGTTGCAGATACTGTCAAACAATTTCATGCTTTCATGCATCCGATTCTGTAATTGGAAAAAAACCCACATTGTATTTTATCAGACTTCAGTACTAAAACCAGGATATATATTTTTGATTAGTTACAAATGAACCAGGTAAGTTACAAAACTCAGGTTCTGGCATACAGAATCACATTTTACCACAGGGAAATACATAAAGGCCAAGACCACTACAGAGAACACTTTCATGACTAGTGTTTAAGCAACTACTTTTTCTTTCTTTTCCCCTACCTCATTTCCAGGCTTAGCTATTTAATATTTTAGAAAATTTTTAGTGTCTTTTGACATTTTGCAATACAGATACTCTACATGAGTTGCTGAGTTACTTGAATTTGTCTTGTACTAATTAGATCTCCTGGAAATTGAAAATTAAATCCTGCATCTAGCTGAGATTCCAGCATAAGGAAAAAAACAAAAGTTCTACAGAACTAGAGAATCAAATGAGCAGGTTTTTTCCTCTTATCCTCATTTTTAACTCTATAGAAGAATTATCCAACATGCAAGTAGTTTGGCCAAGCTCGTCATTTAAGTAGACCTTCTTTGCCTACATGTGACTTGAAAGTTGGGTTTTTTTTATTTTATCTTCCTCCCCAAACTGTATTTTATAAAGAAGTTGCAGAACATGAGGAAAAGCGCAGAAGTTTGTTAATGATTCACACATAGTAGATAAGCATGGCTTTAGACCACTCAGTAAAAAGCATGTGCACTCCGTGCATACTGATATGGGAGGAGTCACACCTTGAAAGAGGAGAAAGGAGTGGAGGGGGTTGGAAGGGAGAAGGAAGAGAAAAATTTCTGCAACTAAGGAAAGGGATCAGAGAAACACATTTGTAAAGAAACAAAAAATGAAGACTGAGGAAGGAAAGGAAAACATGGAGTAAAATACAGATACATCAAGCAATTTCTTCTAGCATTCATAAAGAGACTAAAATGTCTATTACTGACAATCTATCTTCATGAATTTGTGTCCTTTAAAAAATGAAGGACTGTAGCTCAAAAGAATAATTGTCTCAGTGTTCCTTCTGAGAACATGAGGAAATACTTTGAAACCTGGAAGCATTAATTCTATCACCATTTCTCGGAGATCTTTTACACAAAACCCATACATCTTACAAAGCAGTAATACTCTAAAAGATGTATTTACAGCTTTCCTTTCAAACTTGTTTAGTTTCTATCCAACAACTATTCCGTTCTTCAACATTAAGGTACTTGCCATTTCCTCATCTTCAGCCAAGACCAAGTCATAATCACTTAATGCCACACAAAAAATGATGGCTGTAACACCCTCAAAACAATGAATCCACTTCTTCCGCTCTGACCTTTGGCCTCCAACATCAAACATTCTGCAAAATAGAAGTGCAAAGCAGGGAATGAACTTTGGAATTTCTAGCTTTTTCAGTGTTAACCAATAAAATCTGAAGGTATCAGCTGTGTAAGTTTGATAACATTTTAAGAGTGGCATAAAAATTTGCAGCATTTATTACTATTTAATGTCTCGATATAAAATAACAATTGTAATAAAGCCTTGAAAGCCTTCCTATACAACATTTTACAAAACATGAGAAAGTGTGAGGTGAAAGCTAAACAAAACTGATTATTTACAGTACTATATTTCATTAACAAAGATAATTTAATGTATAAAAAATAAAAATACAGTCAGCTTTACTAAATGTAAACCAGATGAAAGAGTTATTCAACCGTTAGCCCAAATGAATAAAAGGTATTGACTAACAATCTAAGATTCTTTTAGAGTTGTGTCTGTTTTAATACTTGGAAATAATGCAATACTAAGCAAACTGGATACAAGTAACATTGATTTTATTGTTGTTTAGTATTCTGAATATAAATATATAAAATCTAATTTTCACTTTCCCAAATTAATCTGGAATTTCTGAATCCTGGTGAGTTTCAGCTCCTCTCTCCCCAAAACTAAATTACAACTACATATATTTTATAACTGTCTATGTTTAAACAGGATATTTTAAGAGACACTAAAATTATTTTCAAAATTGTCTTAAAAGACAAAATAAGTATGACATAATAAGAATAATCATTTTCCCTCTAACAAATGCATTTTTGGGTATGTCGTGAAGTGGGAAAATTGGCCGATAAATGTGACTCTTGTTTTGTTTGAATTCTTAGCTTAGCAGAAATAGAGGAAAAGTAGGAAAAGACCACATTCCAGAACTTAACAGCAGAGGATTAGCAAATTAGCACAAAATGAATGTATTTGCTTTCCTCTGATATCTAAATGCTTTAAACAGTCATTTACTACAGCCACTCTGAAAGACTGAACTTTCACTAGACATCACTAGGAACTTCAAGTATTTTAGAAGCCAGGTAAATAGCATCCCAATCTAATGAACTAAGAATCATGGAGGGGTAAATGGGACCCAACACCCAAAAAAAACCCCCAAAAAACCGCCAAAAACCAAAACACCCATCCACCCCCCAAAAAAAACCAACAGACATCCTGAAATGAAGTGATATATACATTGTAGGATCTTCCTGAAGTGCGAGAAGAGAGACTTTTCCCACCTGTCTCTTGGCTCTCACAGAAAAAGTCTGTTGTCTCAAATTCTTGCAATGACTTATGGCTTCAAAACAATGCAAATACACCACATATTACTTCCCTATGTTAGTCAATATTCTATCATGCAAAAATTTAATTTTTCCTCCTACTTACAAGCAAATGCTATTATTCCTTTTAAAAAAGGCCGGACTTTTGCCTTCAGGGGCTTTCACAACTAATTAACTTTTTTTTATATTGCCACAAAAAAAGCACTTAGAATTCAGTAGGTATAAAAATACTGAAATGGGAGGGAGAAGAGAAAGCACAGAGGACAGACCAGTCCCTACATCTCCATCCTCTTCGCTGTAAGCAGCAGAATGACCAGCTCTATCATGAGAGCCTTATTTGGGTAAAAATCTCACATGAATAGGAAACAACTTCTCTATATGTATCAGTACAGAGAAATACAAGCACACAGAAAAGAACACCTATTTGGCACACAGAATTCTTTAAAAAAAGAGAAGGCTGCAAGTATCTTTCAGAAAAATTAGCCATTCACAAGCATTCCATCTGCCCTCTTAGAAGTCATAGAGGCCTATTAGGTCACAGTCCCAAAAGACTGAAACACTCATAGAAGCTGCTTCATCTGCAGATAAATTTTAAAAAGTTTTGAAAGAATGATTTACAGATTCCATCTCCTAATATGGGAGGGTGTGCACACACCAAGCGCATCTTTTAAGTACTTGCCTCAGGTGCTAAAATTCATATTACTATCCATGGTTTGACTACTCAGAAGAACCACATTTTACTTATGTAAGTTAAGTCAGAGTCTATAATGAACTAAAAAGACATAAAAGGCAATGCTGAAAGAACTGAAATTTCTAACACCTGAATCTACCTCCCTATCTAAAGAAAGAAGGTATTGGAGAAAAGCTTTAATGACCTTCCATTAAAGAAAGCAGACTTCTTGAATGGGATTACAAGGTGACTATGCCACATTAAGACAAATTACTTGACTGAACCAAATGTAAAGCATTGAAGACAGTTCTCCAATCATCACTCTACTAAGCTATGTTACTTAGCTATATTAAATGGGTAGCTTTCCGAAGGGTTTATCCGCAATTGTGCGAATTTAAAGACTTCTGCAAGGTCCTTTCATTAGCACAATATGTTTTTGAAAGCTAGTGTTGCCAGATTTGCTATGTTCTGCTTCTTTCAGACTAAGCAAAGAACATGATTCCAGTACCCATACAAAATGTGACATGAGCCAAAAGGACATGAGATATTTATTATGATTGCTTTCACTTATTTTTTAAGGTTATACAAGTTGTTCGTTCCAGCCCCCAGACCTGCTAAAGACTCTGAATTATGACAAATATTTTTTTGAGGCAGGGTGTTTATAAAAACACAATACATATCTGGAAAGTCTCGCACATTACACACTTATTAAAACCGACCTCCATCTTTTATTATCCCCCTTTCTTATTTTCTCTGGGCTGTACGATTGCATGGGGGCAGGCAGATAAAAAAACCTACTGATTTAATGTTAGTGTACTACATGACTAGGTAAATTGCACTTGAAGAGAATCAGTTACAGTTGTTATTTTCAGAAATCTTAAAAAATCTAGCAACCCAAACACTTTATTTTAAAAACACAGTAAAAATAAGTAGAGAAGGAAGCAAATTAGAAGAAAAACAAAACCCCTTGGCTTTCTGATCAAAAACTGTCAGAAACATCATAACCTCTAATGAGATCTTTTATTTGGGTATACTGTTGTGCAAGTGACAACACTCATTGCCCATTTAATGTTCTACAATGGAATAATGACAACTTAAAAACATTTTAAAGATTATTCCTGTTAGATTGTCCCTGCCCGCAGCAGGGGGGGTTGGAACTAGATGATCTTTAAGGTCCCTTCCAACCCAAACCATTCTATGATTTTAAAAGTGAGGGGAAGTCTCTGGATATCACCTTATATAAATGGAAGTCAGCCACTTACTCCTAGTTAGTTCTCAAATTATCAGTGATGGCTATACCCATAGGAAGATATTTCTTACTTGTGTATCTTAATAATTAATACCTTAGTCACTACTTCTGTCAATTCCAATGCTAATGTTTTATAATTTTATAGTAAGACCTGAATTTCATGAGAATTTAAGTCATCAGAAGAACAGTTTTACAAAATAAGGTGTTCTTTGAACACAAAAAGCAGTAAATAATCAGACTCAACTTCTGAAACAGTCTACAGAAACAGGATGAGGATGACTTGCTATTTAGATTGAATCAGTAATCAAAGCTATGCTAAGCACTTTACCGAGAAGACTGAAATGAGGTTCAACCTCAAAGAATCTACACGCAGAGGAAAACAGAAAAGAAAACAACATGAAAGAAATCAAGTACACAACATTGCTCAGCTAATCATGTTTATGCACCCTCACTTTGGCATAATCAAGCCTTTTATACCTTTAGCTCATTTTCAAAGTTCTTTTCAGTGTTACTATGTAAGAGTATATTTCTTCAAGCCCTTCCAATAACTCATTAAGCCTATCTCCTAAGGCACCTAAAATTTAAACACCTGCTGTACAGGTGTTTAAGTGTAAAACATTACAGCTAAATACTTCCAAAGGCCTGCCTTAAAGTTACACATTTTAAAGTGTAATCATATGGTCCTTATAATGGACTTTATAGGATTGTAATCATATGGTCCTTTTAACAGTCCTAATAATCAGTACAGACTGGAAGTAGTTACCTGCATACAAACCCATTGAGAGTGTAGAAGAATTTAAACCCATCTACAATAGGGAACTGAACAAAAAAATATTAGAAAATGAGTGAGAAAATGGATAGATCCTCAGAATACTGAAGACCTCTCTTGAGGCTTGGGTAAGGACTACTCTCCTTAGGTTTGCAAAAGATTAATTCCCATTTACCAGCTATTTATTTTATGGATGAATATGAGTTTTGTACACTTAAACCCTAAAACAAGGAAACAAAATGTATTTCCATAGTACCGATGGCCCTGAAGCATCCATAGTACAGTACTTGCTATGCTTTTACATGAAAAAAATATTTTCCATGAAGATACTAAACAAATACATTGTATAGACATGCTGACAGCAATTTCTGCACAATCTAAGTGCAGATGCAATGTGAGTTTTACTGAGTTTTCTTCTCTTTCTTCCTGATTAGTAGGGGGTAGAGTAGTATTATGTTTGTACCATCTTATGCTTTCATCATGAATGGCTTTGGACATAAAATGTTCAGAATAGTAGGAGAGTAAATCTCGTATCACAGGAAACAGAAGTCATACTTTCATGACTAAATCAAGTACTATCTGAAAGTACAACACATCTGAATTCAGTTTTTCAGGAAAGTGGATTTACTCTTTCATAAAACACCAAACATTTATAAGCCTCCAGCTCTCCAACTGAATTTAAAGGGAAGAATCTGATAGAAGAACAGCTACTTAACATGGCAGAAAATGGAATATTTTGAGATTTAATTTACATAAAATATCTTTACAAAAAGCATCCAGTAAACCCAAAGCATTTATTACTTAATATCTGCATATTTATTCTAAGTTATTACAGTCCCATATCCTTTCAGAAAATTGAGCCAAGCATGAGCTTTTTTTTTTTTTTTTTTTCAGGAAAAAAAAAAGGGGGCGGGGGGGAGAGAGAGAGAATCTAAGTTGTGGTTAGACAAATTTGCTAAATGACATCATTGAAAATCCATCTTCCAGAACTTTACAGAAACTGTAACAGACAGATGAATATGCAGCATAATTTACATACTTAAAATGAAGATCTTTGAAAGTAAAGTGGGTTTCCACTATTCCTGTAGTTTTCACTCTAGTCCTGAGAACGTCCTGTTGGGTTGGAATGTAGCTGGTTTGTGCTATCCGGTCCAAGTCATTCAAGTAACTGAAGGCAAAAAACAAATACTGCTTTCAGTTATTCATAAAATAGTAACAGGATAATTATAAAGAATTACAGTTTTAGGTCCATTCATTATATTGTGCTTGACTTATAATATAAAATAGGTTTCTCTAAGACAAAAAATACATTATTCCCCTCAATTTTCCAAGGGTTTTTTAAATAAATTTTAGAGACACTAAAATATTTCACCCTAGAAGGAAGAAAACTTATGCAATTGACTCCACTACAAATAATTTTTTTTGAAATCCCAAAATGGAAACATGGTTCCACGTACACCAATGTTATCTGCACTAACTAGAACACCACTTTCATCTTCGTAACCTACTGAACTACAAATTACTTTGAACTATAACCAAAGCCCAAAATTACCCTGGATTTGATAACATGCATGAAAACAACAAACCAGTGTTTTGGCCAAAGTTAATGTGTTTAAGAAAATGCTTAATACATAACAATTAACTTTCTATTGAGAATTTCTAATTGCACACATTTTTACAATAATATACTTTCACTGCCAAAATTCTTGCCATGCAGGCCAAGCAGCCCAGTGTTTCTAAAAACCATACAAATCTTATTTGTGCTTTTCCCATAGTAAAGAGGGAAGGCATTATATCCTCCTTTCAGTCTAACCAGAAGTTAGAAATTTCTAAGGATTCAATGGTATGGCTAGAAGAACAATTTCCCTATGAAACTAGAGATAGAAGTATCTGAACCAAAACAGAACAGAGGAGGTTAGCAGAGGAAAGTAAGTGATCTTTCAAATGAAGGGGTTCATACCGAAGAAAGTTTATACAAGTGCTATCTCTTATGTTAAGAGATCTGTCATCATGAGCTCAGCTTGTTGCCATCTACCCTCTATACCCTTAGAACCACTTCAGCAAACAAGTAACAATCACACTGGAAGTATCAGTGTAACTTCAACACAATTTGATCACATTTCTATTCATTCAGCAGGCCTATAATGACATTATTCCAGCTGTAGTCTTCTCACAGTTACCCTACCTGCATGTTGTTTATAACTTCAGGCACTACAAATTAATTCAATTTTAAATAGTTGCCCTATAAGGTCAATATCACTGCTATGCCATTCTTTACCATCTTACCTCTCCTTCGATGGACTCTTTTCCTCAACTGACTTAACCGTTACTTGCTGCCATCACATCTTGTCTCATACTCTTGATTCCTTACTATATTATTTTTTTCATGAAGTACCCTAGCATAGAAGGCACATGCTGATTGTTACCTTTGCTCAACACATTTCTAACAGAGACTGTTAATTAACAAAGAAAATGCAGCAATGTTGAAGCACAGAAGAAACTACTATGAACATGAAAGCAGTATCCTTGGTAATACAGATTCACGTCATGTAATCCAAGTTTCCTGGATATATTCAGATACTAACAGGTACCTGAGTCATGTTTTTGTAATAAAAATGCTATGTAACATATTAAAGCCCCTTAAAGCAATTTTTGTCTTCCTCAAGAGGATGACTCAAATTCATAATTATACCACAACTCTTCCTCTCCAACCCTGAAGGTTAGTTGCAGCACTTTGACCTAACTAAACAAGATCTTTGTCCAGATACTTCCTCAAGAGATGAGACTTCTATTCCTTTAGCTACTCAAAAGACAGTTTTGTTTGTCACATAGTACTTACTAGGCAGCAGAGTCATTAAGCTGGTATTCCCTAGATCTGTTGAAACAAGCTTGAACTCCACTGTCTTTCCACAGTCTCTTGATAACTCCAGCAAGCTCTGCAGTCATAAATCCTTCTTCTGCTGCTCCAGCTAACACAAAGAGTTGACGAGCATCATCCTTTAGGATGTAAACAGAAAGCAGAGAAACAAACACTGAGAAATACAACAGAAGTGTTATCAACTAAGAACTATATTCAGCAAATAAGTTACTTTCTTAACCTGGTAAACAAGCCCTGGTCCTTATGGGGGACTTCAACCACCCCAACATCTGTTGGAGGAACAATGCAGCAGAGCACAAGCAATCCAGGAAATTCCCAGAATGTGTCGATGACAACTTGCTCCCCCAAATGATAGAGGAGCCCTCGAGGAGAGGTGCCATGCTGGACCTTATTCT